CCTTTAATGACCGTCCAGATAAAGGTGATCCGTCTTTATTTGTATGTTGTAATTGTTCTCTGTTTACTATGGTTGCACTCCATTATTTTAGAAACCTTTTGTTCGGTTAATTTACTCAGGTGCTTTCCATGAGCAAAACCATTCATGCGAAACACTTTTTTGTCCTTAACATGCAATATATGAATTTATAAACGTCTCTAGTTTCGATAGGAACAAGCTCATTAAGGAATAAAGTTCGAAGATGTGTTGAGGCGATACTGGAGATGACATATAACTCCTTCCGTCAGATTTGGCCAGACCTGGTTCTGACTAACGGCCATATTTTCCCAGTTAAACAAAGTCTGGGAAAACTTGGTAAACCCATTACTCTGAAAGTATATAAGAATTCCTCATCAACTTTAAAATTGAAAATAAAACAATCTCAAATTTCCAGATTGCAATGGTCTAATTTCCGTAATTCCTACTAATCTAAAACAAGCATAAATATCACAAATGAGAGAAAAATGAAAATAAAACAATCTCAAATTTCCAGATTGCAATGGTCTAATTTCCGTAATTCCTACTAATCTAAAACAAGCATAAATATCACAAATGAGAGAAAAATGAAAATAAAACAATCTCAAATTTCCAGATTGCAATGGTCTAATTTCCGTAATTCCTACTAATCTAAAACAAGCATAAATATCACAAATGAGAGAAAAATGAAAATAAAACAATCTCAAATTTCCAGATTGCAATGGTCTAATTTCCGTAATTCCTACTAATCTAAAACAAGCATAAATATCACAAATGAGAGAAAAATGAAAATGAAATAGCAAAGTAGCGATAGTGATTTAAATGCATCATTATTTGTCCTCTGTCTTCAGTCAGTTCAATATATCATGATGACAGAACCAATGTTAGTTCAGGAGAATTCGACAAAACAAATGCATTTTCTCTTTCCCGAGGCTTTTACCCCTATGACTCCTACGTAATTGTCTTTTTCCTTCGAATCGTCTGGTTTTTGCTTTCCGATTAGGATACCTGGTATTAGTACTAGTGATGCATGTTATCATTAACTTCTGTGATAGGTTTTTGTGGAAGGTCCGGGGGCAGGAACCTTGTTGACAACTATCATTATTTGCAACCTATCGCTACGTGGTATATACACATATGTTTTGTTTAAATGTTCCCTTTGTCCCGTTCTATTTTTGGGGGGTGGGTTTGAGTGTTTATTTGTTTTTTTGGTTTTGTAGTGAGAGTGTTGGAGTCGGGGTGGGGGTGGGGTGAG